ACATGTAAAGCAGAGTACACCAATTTAACCTTGTTTTTTCTTTCATTACAAATGGTTGAAACTAAACCAATTCCAGTTACTTTAAAATCCCTTCGCCTGAAGGCGCAGTGGACGGGGCCAGGGCATGGCATAAAACAAACATCTTCATAGAAAAAGCCGGACATCAAATCATTCCTGCATCAGGGCCCGGATGTATAAATTCAAACTATTGCAGCACCCAGGAAAATTGAAATGACATAAAAAGAAGTGGGGCCAAACCTCATTCTAGTGATTCATGGTCATGCAAAAAGCATTAGCGTTTTTGCTTTTTCTCAATGTCGTGAAGCACACACACATCTGCCGCTGTCTTCATCTGGAACCACCGCAAAGGTCTTAGTGTAGATTAAATTAGAGGGCTTGAACATATAAGTACAAACAAAGTCACAAAAGCAGCTGCTAGCATGGTCACGGCTCAATACAAAAAGCAGTAAATAAAATAACCAAATCCGGCTAATTTACTTAAATCAAGAATGTGAAGAAGAAAGTTCTCTGAATCAATGGTTAGTCATATTAGTACGTTGTTGCACCATAATAAAGACCATGCCAAGGAGTAAGCTGAAGCACCAAGTAACATGCTAATTGTTACGTTATATGTCCAGTGCAGATTGAGTCGACTCACGGAAGTAAATTGGCTTTTCAAAGCTTTTATGCAAATGGACGTCAGTCATCAGTCACCTCCTCCCGGTAAATTCCCAATGTTATGTTTCAATGTAAATATAAGTATCATGTTGATGGTTAAACGACAACTTAAGATAACTATTGACTGGAGTTGAGTTTACGGGGCACTAGATCATCTGTTGTGCTGTGAAAAAAAGTAGCGCTTTTTATGTACAAACCTGAATGATATTTACAACTTGCTTGATCGCCCATCCAAATAAACTTGTACCAACCAGGAAAGAAACTATTGATATCTTTTGCAGACTACTCGCTAACACCTGAAAAGGATTGACAATTGAGAAACTAACAAAATGATCTTGGGGAACCTTCTAGATATCACAGACATCTGAAACAACTGAAACACACACATAGAATATAGAACTTACATCCACCAATTTGTCTGTTTGATTCTCTGACAGAAGAAATAGGATTAAGTAAAGGACCTGTAAAATGAGAAATTTTTAATTTAAACATGAAAGACTTTTATCAAAAGTGATCAAGCAGACAGGAAGACAATTACCTCACAGGAGACACAACAGTAAGCCATAAACATCCTATTCCCATAATATGCCCTAAAAAGCCAGCTAGTGCTGTCCTTTACATCTTTATGACTATCCTTGCCCAGCAAGAAAGTGCTGCATTTGAAGCATGAAGATCCAGCAAAAAGAACTTAATAAAGACTAAAACAAATGGTCACAAATTTATAACGTATATGAAAGGAAGGAAAAACTTGGCATTGACTCGTTTACATGCATTACCTGTACATTTGCAGCCAGTGGCTTGCAATATCCAAGGCAAGCAGTGACAAGAAGATCAGACCAGGCCTTCACAAAGATTCAACCCAAATGTCAGAGATACATGGTTAAAATTCCAGTGTTTGATGCAATGCAAGAGGGCTCGAAAAATCTTACTTGTATACTTGGGAAAGAATTACAAGTAGACAAGCTGTACTGATTCTGGAATGGAGGTACAAATAATCCGAATGAGCAAATGGGAATACAAAATATTAAAATTATAGCATTATCATTTTTTATTAATACTTTTCCTTGACGTTTATGTCAAAAAAGTGCACGTGTAAGGGTGCCTACGAAGGATGTACAACTCAAAATGAGAGCCAATTCCATGTCCAACAGTCATTAGACGCCACATGACACTTGAATTACATACGGATACTCCATAGTTAATGCGCAGTGTCCTATTGCGTTAGCACTGGTGCCTATGCACACAGAATGATGCGTGTGCGCGTACCAAATGGGGAGAGTGAATGAATTACCTGTCTGTTATCATGTCCAGAACAGCTCCAAAGGTTGACACTGAAAAAAAATAATAATAATAAAAACACTATAAATGTGCTGGAGTAATATATCTGTCCATTATTAAGCAATAAATCATAGTCAGATAAAAGTTATTTCAAGACATAAATTTACTCCTTATTAAAAGTCTGATCAGTGTAACAATGAAACAATGTTAAACATATATAATCATGAAACAATGGTTGTATAATGATTAGAGTGGTGCGGAAACATGAAAAAATGTTAGCACTTGGCAGCAACGAATGCATATACATCTGCCTGTGTGAGAAGGCATGCATGCTACAAGTTACAACAATCTAAAGTTAACTGGTGTCCTAAACCAAAGCATCAAAAGGGGCTAAGCATCTTGAGGTCCACGGTGCATAAGGTGTTCTAACCCAAGCACCAAAACTGAAAAAATGGAGGGCATGCTAAAACCATAGATATGAAGAAGTAACTACTATGAACTGATCAAGAATTCAAGATGAACTTTAATAACAAGTCATATCAATTCAAGTTCATAACAAAAAAGGTGCTGCAGTTCAGCATTTCATAACAGTTAGAGATAAAATGCCCTAAAATTCATAAAACAAACAGAAAACAGCTCTAGAGTCCACCATCGGAATCATTAGATAAGATCAGCCCCATAGTTGTTTGTCATCAACTCATCATTTCCTATCCTCCTCTTTTATAGCAATAAGAGATAAAATGCCCTAATATTCATAAAATAAATAACAACAACAACAACAACAAAAAATTTACTTGGTCAGCAAAGTAAAGGGAATTGCCACACACAAAAAGAAAACATAGGTGAGATCCTGACGGAAATGACCATGCCTGAGAGATCAGATAGACAAGAACTCTTTGTCACCTTGCCTAAGTGCCTTTGCGAAAAGTAATAATTAATCAGTTGGCAATAACATTCAAAATAAACCAACAAAGAAAAAACCAAAAACAACGATGATCACATGCACACTGTATTTGGCCTTCATAAGAAGAATGCAATGGAAAAGTGCAGTTATGGGAGAGAGATAAGTCCAGGTTCCTTCAGTGTGAAGTAGAACTAATTATGCATTGATAGTGTTTCACAGAAGAGGTTGAAACATAAATTGATACTGGAATAACATGAATAAGGAAATTTATACCCTGGTTAAATTTGCGAGCACACCAACCATCCACAGCATCACAGACAAAGCTGAAAAGACAAGTTCAACCATATTATGCCCCTAGCTCCGTAAAGTTAAAGAAACATAGAGAAGAATGCTTGAAAACACTTATGGAACTGCTTCCCACCTGAAAAAATAGAGAATACAGAAAAGCATTCTGTTTCTGAAGCATAGGTAGAAGGCAGCACAGTTTACAAGAACCCGGATGTATCCTACAATACAAAAAAGTCAATTTTAAAAGAGTGAACTCGTGAAGAATCACCAAAGAAGGAATCAACTTAATTGAATTTTTCAGAATATGCATGACTTTCTTGCAACAGAAATACCAGCTGCAAACAAGTGGCATAATCTAATAAAAGTAGGATAGTGTTCTGATCATTATTTAACAGCACAGTGCAGAGTTGGAATCCAATTTTCCAAAGACATAAGATGGAAATAAATCGTTTAGTTGTAAGAACCTAGTTCTGCCACACGCTTCTGATATATGTAATGGCTGAACTACATAGTTCCCAAAATAACTAAGCAAGCAGCAAAGAAACACAATATGCACCAGTAAGGATAAATACCTACCAATGATATTAGGAATGTAAAGGTACACTGATAATTTGCTAGGTCTTGGTCCAGGCCTTTTCGCCATTGAATGATTTACACTAAAACCTGCCTTAAATGTACAATCTCGACGATCAAAATTACCCCCTGCACACATTCGCTTCAGGTAAGAATCAAATGTACAAAGACATATGCATGCAAACCTGAATATAGCTAAGCCTCATATTGACAATCACCCACCCTGTAACACCAACCTAAATACCAAGTACATAAGTTTAAAAGAGAATTCAACAGCTATTTTTAAAACAAGCAACTCATTAGCTCCCATAAATTATATCATCCATCACTTCTACATAACATGCTGCACCATATCATTACACTCCAATTACACTTTCTAATAGGCATTAACCTAAGCAGCAACAATTACTCGGCTGGAACAATACATAGATGATTTTACTCTTGATTATAAACACTGGCTCAGAATTTTTAAAACGAAAGGTTCCAGATAATGCCTCCTTCTTAATCATTAAATTGAATCTTTATACATCCAAAATACATTTCTCATTTCACTTGCGTTGTCATGCCAATCTTTCTCTTCTCTTCCCACGCTAGGGGTTTCCGGTTTTCCTTATCTTCTGAGAGCTCCCTATTACTTCCTGCGTCCCCAGCCTCTTGCTCTACTCAATCAGATTAGCATGACCGCAAGCAAAAGAACTACTCATAGTTCAATGGACACGTAGAGAGGAAATGAAAAGCGCGCCAATCAAATGAGGATGTCAAGGCATCATTGAGCTGCCAGCGTTTAGATTTTAGAAACTCAGACGCTTGACGGACATGTAAGGGGTGCTAAGCGTGGCCAAGGATGACAACCACCTGTCTGGGAAATGCCGTCATGCGTAATGCCAAAAGAGATGTGCGGAGAGGAAAACTGTAAGCCGTTATTGTCGGCACAGGTCAAATCAGAAATCACACCCGACTCAGGAAGCTCATAAAAAGCTAGAAATGATTCGCTCTCACTGACTCAATTTACGAAACAGCTAACGGAAACCAAACAGGACTAAAAGGGGTGAAATAACGATCCCCTTGAGATGAAGGAAAAACACATACAAACTAACTAACAAATAGAATAAAATTACCCAGTTCAGTCACAGGGAAGTCGGAGATACCGTTTGGGCGGACGACAGGGGCTGCGGTGAGATGGCGCGGAAGAATAGAGTGAGTTCGGATCAAGCAGATTCCGGCGAGGGGCGGAGATATTGCTGATTTGGGGCAGCCGCGTCGCGATACAGAGGAGCGAATAACAAGCGGGGAGCAGCGGGAGAGACACGCTGTCAGCGCATAAATTCTTTTCACGGCTTTGTTATAATATTTCAGGGCAAATCATGCGCAAAACAGGTGTAAGAATCAATAATTACAGCATTTACTTATTTACTAAGAACGAAATAAAAATTAAAAATTATCATTCAACATTTTTTTGACCTTCAAAATTATCCTTCAATTAAACCTACATGGTAAATGAGAAAATGAGAAGCCATGCATAAAAAGATTTAAAATGATGGCACCCCCATGGGGTTTGAACGTCGAGAACTCACCACTTCCTGGGAACATGGGCATCACCCGGGCGATGATGAGTTGTTAAGGGCATTAAGTATAAACAAACGAAAGAAGTGAACAGGGAGAGCAAGTCAAGAATAATTCCTTGCATTGTATCGAAGGGTATGAATAAATTAAAAAAGAAAGGATCATACCAAAAATATAATTAAAAAAACGGGCGGACTGATGAGCCCAAAGGACATGAGTGGGCCGAGATGCTTAAAGCCCATGGAATGGGGACAGCGGGACCGAGGCAGCTCACCAGATCGCGGGGAAAGGGAAGTGATCAATAAACGGGACTGGGTGTGAGCCGTGAGCGCCATGTCTGAACTCCGAAGTCTCAGCTAACTCTGACTCAGGCCCCGGGCCCCAAAAAAAAAAAGGCTCTCAACTCTGTCACATATTACTAATTTTAAACTTTCAAAATAAATTTGTACTCAAAAAACTCTTAAGTACCCGATGCATTTAGGACAAATTTATACCTTGACATAAAATTAAAAACGACAATATACATATGCCCTGAGAGGGAGTTGGATTCTCTCCACTACCTTCCCATCCTCTTCCCGTCCACTATCCTTCTTTTCTCTTCACAACCATTGGATCAAAATTCTAATGGTCCAGATTTAATATCTTATAAAAATAATGTTATTAAAAAAAAATTTAAACTGTTAAAATCTGGTCTGAACAGTTTACAATTGTACTAAAAAAATTTAAAAAATTTGCTTTATAATAACAGTCTTTAGTTATGAACTGTTCAGATTAGATTTTAACAGTTTAAATTTATTTATCTATTTTTTATCATAATATTTATTTTTATAAAATGTTATAACATATTAAACTTTCAAAATAAATGTGTACCCAAAAAACTCTTAAGTACCCGATGCATTTAGGACAAATTTATACCTTAACATAAAATTAAAAACGACAATATACATACGCCCTGAGAGAGTTTTTCAGCTTCTCTTTCCTTTCTCTTTCATTCACTTCTCATTTCAATTAAAAAAATTGAAATTTGAACAGTGTTAAGATAACCATTATTAAGAAATTTTAAGATGACCAGTACTATTATTAACAAAAATATAAGCAACTATAAAAAAAAACTAAATATAACTGCATCTCTCAGATTTTACTTAGTAGTTAGTACTGACATTCTTAGGAGATTTAATATCCATCAGTTGAGCTTCATCATGTGAAAGCTAAACTTGTAACATTAAATCACCGAACATCTATTAGTAGTCTTCATATCCTTACTCTAAAGCCTAATTAAAAAGTTTATATCAATCCTACATGTAAAACCTATTTTGTATGTTTATTTTTCCAAATAGGAGGGGGTGGGAAGGAATTAAAAGTATTTTAGGAAAAAAACATATCATATCGATTAATTTATCTAATATCTTTAAACTACTTAAATTAGTTAATTAGGTTTTAAATTAAAAACTATATTACATAGAATTCAAGAAATCTGTGTATTTTTTTTTTATTTAAGATCCATAAGTAATTTTTGTTATTTAATTTGCCAACTATTACATGGTTACGTTAATAGTTAAATAACTAGAGCATTTTCACCAAACACGGTGGGAATGAACAGAAAGAATTCAATTACTTTTAAGTTACCCTGAACTTTTGGGGTTTTATGTTTTTTTGTGTTTTTGTTTTTGGTTTTTTTGGGGGGGGGGGGGTGTTGGGTATCGCAACATGTTGGAAGAGTTATCCTCAATCAAATTCAGAAAATATCCATCCCTCACGCGACAGAGTATTTTAGAGGAGAACAATTTAGAAAAATGGAAACTGGCTACACATGTTAAAAGTTAAAACTTAAAAGAGTTACCTTGAAATTTTAGTCAACGTTATTTTTCCCTGTTTTTGTGGTGACATTCAATGATGCCAGTGAATTGTATTCTAGTGAGTGAGAAGGATTTCTCATTTCAGCAACCGAAAGAAATATTGAAAAAAAATCTTAAATGCAATCATGAATTATTTAATAAATTTAATGACCAAAAAAAGCAATAAATAAAAATAAATTAATAATCTTTTTTTTTCCAAAAAAAATCTCAACATTGCTTTTATTTCATTCAACTGAATAATGAGAAAAGTAAAAGTAAAAGAAATATCGAGTCCCCTCATTAATTAAGTAATCACAATTTTGTTTGCTTTCAAACTGAAGAAATGAGATTTGATGTCCCCGATGCGGTCGCCGAGATCCCCCATGTAACCGGTCAAAAATATAAGTTTCTTTCATAACTCATGAGATTTTTCTACAGAGAAAGAAAAAGGTAAAGTCAGGAATAAAAAGGAAACTAGAGTTAGTAGTAACTCTCTGCATTGGGCCAAGGGTGCATTCATCGAAATGGATTATGTGCATCCCATCCATCTGACTAACATCCCAGCAACTTCTAAGTTCTAAGCAATCTCCTATTCTCCTTTATCTTTTTCCTCTTTTCTTTTTCCCTTCCAATTCTGTATTTACTTTTCCCGGAAAACTAGCCTAGAAAATCAAGGTCTCTATACTAGCTTTCTTAGGCGTACTGCAAACAGGGCAAGCCTGAAGCAAAGCCTCGCAAACCCTGCATGAACATAGATGCCTGCAAGGAAGAAACAGAAAGCACGCCTTCCCAGAATTACAGCTTTTACAAATCATCATCTTTCTCGTGCTCTGTTCAACTTCGACCCCATCGTCCTCTTCCCCACCAATAATAATACCTCTTCTTTTCTCCCCTTCGTCGTTGCAGCACGACCCTGCATCATCCGCTGCGACCCCATTGTTGAGACCATGAGAAGCTTTCTCTTTCGCCTGTTCCAATGTGTTGTGCAGTGATAACACCATGGCTTCTTTCTCCTGAGCCAGTTTACGCCACGCTTGATTCTCTTCCTCCAGTCTTCTTAGAAACTCTTCTAACTCCATTCTTTTCTTCGTTGCTTGCGCAATTTCTTCGTCTTTCTGCCTCAACATGTAAACCGCGTCGGATTCGAATTTCTTTAGTAACGACGCCACTTGCTGCTTCCTCTGATGTTGCAGCATAATTCTGAGTTTCTCATTCTGCACCATTCACAAGATTAACATTCAAAATTAATCCCTTCACAATCCGAAACGCTTGGCAGAAAACAAACAAACGCCTTAATAATGGATTTTAACCTGTAGTCTGATGTAGCGATCCATATCCTGGCTCTGTTTCTCGAATTGAAGGGCCATGCTTTGCGAAATAGACGGTGAAGCCGGATTGAGATTGTTAGCTTTCGTATTATTGCTCGAGAAGAGAAGATTTGTGTCGACAAACATGTTCTGATTCCTCTGCCTCTCACTGTACAACTGTCGCAAATCCTGTTGCTGCTGATGTTTCTGTTGTGAATTGAAACAGGACTGAGCTAACCCATTATTCTCAGTTATCAAATCCTGAGACCCACATAACGGGAACCCAATATTGCCCGGACACAGCTGCGCTTGAATCGCCATGCGCGAATCGAAGGCCAATCTCAATCTCAAAACGATCAAAGCGAGAGCTTTTATATGGGAACAGAAAGATCAAAAGGGGTTATGGGTTGGGAGAAACAGAGGCAATAGTGGGTATAAATACATGAGGAAATGGATGAAATGGATGAAATGGAGGGATTTGGATTGAGAAGAAGGAAGTAACTGAAAAACTTGATAGGAAAAGAGGGAGCCTAGGATACTACAGAATAGGACTGAGTTTCCTTTATATGTTATTTGGAAGCATTAAAGAGAGAGATGTGTGGGACGCGGTAAGCAGCGACGTAGCACATGCAGATTTTGTGACCAAACTAAGGGGTCAGAGATTTCAGAGGCGTTTGTTTTGAATTTTAAATAAAGAAAGAAAAAAGAATTGGTTTCTAATTTCATTGAGAAACTCACTCACACACAAACCTGTGAGGCTGTGAATGAGTCAGTGCTTCTCATTTAAGAGAGAGAGAGAGAGAACAAATAAAAGATTTGTCAGTTCGATTATTATGAAAGGACTCAGAGTCTGGGATTCTTATTTTTGTCGTTTCCCCAATATTTCCAAAACATTTTCTAAAAACCTCCTCCTCTTTCATTCTAAAATTACAGACAGATGCTATCTTTGTCACTGTTCCATTAATGCCTTTTTTCTTTAAAAGGCATCCATTTTAGTTTTCAAGATTAAAATTAAGAATATATTAATTCATGCACTTTATCATCTCTTTTCCAACGTTATTGCTTGTGGGCACTCGATTTCACGGGAAAGTTATACGTCCTCTCTCTGAACAAATAAAGGGGTAATAATATCTCATATGTATACTTAAATTATTCGAATTAAAAAAAAAATCCTAATACTCCTCTGATCCTTAATATATGACTCAATTGTTGAGTTGATTTTGATCTTAAATATAAAACTTATTTCTTATATTTATCAATTTTTTTCTCAATTACTTCTATAGATACTCTTTCAACCATAATCAAGTAGAAGAGGGGAGGGTTATTAAGAAAAATGATTATAGTGTTTTAGGAAAAATGTGTCACATTTCTTACAGTTAACTAATTTACCTAATTTTCTTAATCTAATTAAATTAGTTGAATGAATCTTATATTAAAGATAAGAGCTGCACGTGCTTTTCTATGTATGAAATAGAACAGCTTTCTAGTTTTGTACTATATGTGAAAGAAGGCATAAATTAAAAGGCTTAGTTGTTGTCTAAGAACATGCGAGCCTGATACGTCCGGAATATAATTTCCTGTCTAAAACAGTGTAAACATGATTATCTCAGTAGCACATTCCAGATGACAGCTGTAATAGCAAGCAAGCAAACTATT